AGGTCAGGCGTGGAAATCTCAGCAGTAAATCTTACACAGTAAAGACTGAGGCACAGAAATCACTGAGCTTCCCTACTAAAGACTTGTCCCTTGGTGCCACTCTAACTTTTGCCATCAAGGGGTCCATCCCATTCCCAGTGTGCCCTCTTATGTCTGATGTCCTTGGTGAACATTTTACTTTTAGTCTGAGCATCTTCCTGAAGGATTTATCCCTTCCTTATTTGTTAGGAACGTATGTACATGGATTTCTGTTTTGTAGTATTTTGTGTCTTCTGTTCTGTCTGTACCCATTTATTTTGACTTCTTTTCCCTCCTTTATCTGTTTTTTATCCTTGTATCAACTTACAAATTCCATCTTGGCCCAGGTGGCTCCCCATAACCTACCATCTAACTACATTTTGCAAAGCTGTGAGGGTTTCATCCCACCTTTCTGTGAAAGCATTTTTTTGTCTTCTACTTGCATTTGAACATCATCAGAACAAGAATGCAGTGTGTCTTATAAACACTGTACTAAATTTACATATACTAGGCTAGGATTGTGCATGCAAGTCCAACCTGACCATTTTACTGTCTATTTACCTCCATTTTAGCATCTGGCAAAGTCAATCCCTCGAGCAGTAAAGACTGATGCACAGAAATCATTAAGCTTCCCTATTAAAGACTTGTCCCTTGGTGCCTGGGTGGTAATGAAGAAAGCTATATTTAATATTGGTAGTAGTATTTTAAAAGTATCTCTGTTGAAAAAGGAAGCTGAAGTATTTTGGGGCATCTTAACACCAATAAGAAAGGAAAAAAAGAAAGCCTGGAGAATAATTCTGTGTGAAAGAGCTTCAGTACCCTGGATGCAGTGTAATATATAGCATATTTGTATATTGGCTTCTTTAAAATCCATAATGCTTCCATGCCTATATTTGGATATTTACTTTCTGAAGGAAAAAGGGAATCTGATTCTTGTTTCTTTTTCAAAAAAAAGTTTGTTTATGCTTTGAATATTTTGGCAGTCTTCTTGTGCATAAACCTTTTTCATATTTATGTACATAACTTCAGATAGGATGGATGGTGGTGTTTAAGTAAAAAGGACCACATTATTTTGTCCTTTTATCATCTAGATAAGCAGCAGCTGGGCTAGTTAGTACAGACAGTGCTGTAGCAAACAGCTGTTTCTTATCTGAATGACAAAGGACCAGGGTAGAGACCTTTTTTTGTTTTAAAAAAAATTTAAAATCTTGTTTCTATTTTTATTTTAAGAGAGAGAGAAAAGGAGCTACAGGCAATCCGTAGCATGGGAGGTTTTATTTTATTTCTACTAATATGATAATTTATTATAGATCAGTGCTAGCAGCCAGAGGAGGGAACTCTTTTCAGTCTAGAGAGGAGATCTGGAGAGGATCAGGGGGATCTTACGAGTCAGTGTTTATAAATATATGATAGAAGTAATAAATAAGACTGATCCAGACTCTTCTCAGGGCTGCCCAGTGCCAGGACAAGAAGCAACAAGGCACAAACTGAAATACAAGAAATTTCTTTATGCATGAGAAAACAAATTTTCTTCTTGGAGGTCCACCACTGGCAAAACTTGCCCTGCAGAGTTGTGGAGTCTCTTTCCTTGGAGGTATTCAAAACCCAACTGGACAACCTGCTCTTGTTGACCTTAATTTGCACAAGAGGTTAGGCTAGATAATCTCCAGTGGTTTCGTTCAACCTCAATTAGTCCATGACTCTGAACTCTCACACCAAGGACTGCTCTAGCTAGGGACAGCTATTGATAGAATAGGGGCTTGTACCTGCCTGGATTTCTTTATTTGCCAGACCCTTAATGAAGGTCAGGAATTCAAATAACTTTGTTTTTATTACCTACTCATTGATCAGTTAATCAAAATAAATTATACCAGATAACACTGATACTGGCTAAGAGAAGGAACTAGAATTTGTAATTCAATCTCTGTATTAGAAGTGCCTCAGGAAATATTTGAACTGCAATCTTGCTTTGGACTGTTGGTCTCTTTGTCTTGCCCACAACACAGTTTCCAAATTCTGTGTATTTTTTCTTGCACAAGCTTTACCAGTGTAAGGAAAGACATTTGGTTTTGTTTTGGTTTGGCTTTTTTTGTGAAAGCCAGTTGTCTAAGTTTTGCTATTTTATGAAAGGCATTGTATCTTTTGCAAAATGTTTGTGTAGTTGGCTGGTTATGCCTTTATTTAAATCCATCTTTTGAGATGCTAATTAGAAATGGAAAAAGTTTTTCTCATGGAAATTATAAAATACCTGATCCACTTTAGGAAACATGGCCATCTGAATGCAATGCTCCTGCTATTTCTTTTATTTACACTGTACTTTACTATATTATTAGGAGTGAATTTCTATGTATTTCTCTGATTCAGAGTGATCTTCTTGTCAGTATCTTTCTGCAACTCTCTTGAGATCTTTCTGCAAATGGGTTTGAAAGTTGATGGGTTGTCACATAAAGAAGGACTGTGCAATATGGCTCACTAAAAGCTGGACACTTGTTACATAAAGTCATCAATATAGCACTAGGAGAATAAATCTCAAACCACCTTGATATTTTCACACCTTATTTAAAGGCAGTGAAATACAGGTTAGTTCATGACTTAATGCCTTTATCATGCAAGTTTAAGCTCTCAAGCAGTCTAATGTTGCTATACCCTTGTTTCTTAGAGTGTTTCAGAATTTAACATTTCTTCTCAAATTTGCCTTAGATTCCTTTTGAACAGAGGCTACAACTATTGTTTAATTTACTTTTCGGTAAAGTTGTCACTTGTAATCTGCAATTTAAAAAAACTAATAAAACAAATCCTCATTTCACAATTTAAACCTTATTGAGTCTAATTCACTTGCACTGCAAGTTTATTATTCTCCTGCAGCTTGACGTGCCTCCAATTGTAATTGTGTTGACCCTCCGATGCAGTAAAGCTCCCCCGTGCTTATCAAGCTGGGAGAGATAAGTCTACAATTTGGAACTTCATTAAATATCTCATTTATATTAAACAGATGATGGCTTTGAACAGAAATAATAATTTTTACAGAGTCTACGACCTCCCGATCGTGGTCTCCTCAACTGTAGCGCGGCATTTCCAAACCTCCACCCCTCCATGTTGCCAGGCATCGTGCCAGGGCCCCGATGTCAGGAGTTGTTAGGTCATCAGGCTGCCTTCAAAGCCAAGTGCTTTGTAGCCCTTGAAGCAGATTTTTTAAAGTCTTTCTTAGCATACATTTCTTAGTCATCTGGGGAATGCGAGTAGAGTGATTAATAATGGGCAGCTGTTCCAAGAAAAAAAAAACCAACCAACAAGCATGTTGCTTGTTATTGTAATTCCTGAAACTACCTACTCCTCTCATGCTCGTTTGGAGACTGGTACTTGAAATAAGCATTCCCAGTGGCTTCAAGTAGTTTGCAGCACACTCAGTATCTTGCAGTATGTGGTTCCCACTGTCTTGCAATACATATGAAATAAATGCTGTGGGATTTGTGGCAGGACATTGTTTTTGAGATGTAAGCATATGCTTCAATATGAAGAGGTGTGTTGGTGAGAAGAGCTAATGCTTTGATACGTGAATTCATATTACTCTTCTGCAAAACACGTTTTTTTTTAAGTATTTGTTCTTTTTTTTTAATAGTGCTGTACTCAGTTAATGATATTTAGGTGAAGCAGTTTAATAGTGTCAGCAATTACCAAACAGGGAGCTAGAGCCCAGGTGAACTGAGAGCTTTAGGGGCAGGAAGGCTGCATGATGTGATGACTGGGTCATGGTGTGGGGAGTCTCTTGTCTGTGCAGGGAGAAATTGGACATCCACACTGATCTGAGTGTGATGCTCATTCTCCTCGTTCCCAGGGGCTGCGTTGACAGCAGAGCTGCCCATGGCTGGTGGGGTGGCTAAACTGAGCTAGATGATATCAAGTTGTTTTCTTTGCCTTTCACAAGCTCTGCTTCTCTGGGACTTACTAAAGAAAACTTGACTTTTCCCTCTCTTTTTGAAAAATCTGAAAGGCATATGTAGGAAAACAAGGGATGATGAGCTTCTGCAAGCAAAGGTTGAGCTGGGAAGTCACTCAGCGATGTCTTCTGCAGGAGAGCAGTTGTTGTGGGGAGGAGTACATGCACTCTCTGTTCTCCCCTATGCATGTGGCAAAGCAGACCATCTCCCATTGCTTCTTCCACCACATACTTCATCTGTCTTGTGATGCCTTGGGGAGTCTGGCTGTACTTGTGGTGGGCAGGGACCTGACAGCCCTGGGGGTTTGAGGGCTGTGGCAGAGAGCACTTCATGTCTTGCTAGTTCTTTTTTTTGTGTCTCTGCCTGGATGCTGCAGGTTTCAGGGAAGCATCCAGGATGAATGAAACATGTAAGGTCTCTTTACTCTGCAGCCAGTAAAGGCAGAGCAAAGAACTTGAGTAGGAAAAAAAAGTTATCGATGAAGTATGACAACTTCTTGCCTTTTTTTTCTTTCCCTCCTCATTACAAAACTTTTGAGTGTTTGTGTATAGGTTACTAATATGTGTGCTGGGGTTTCCTGGGGGTTGACATGATGATTGCATTTGAAAACAAGTTGCACCACTTTGGCACCAGCAGCCCAATTCCAAATGTTGTTCCTGCTCTATGCTTCTGACAGGGGCCTTGTTGTGTCTGGCTATTGGTGTGTGGAAGATGGCCCAGCTGTCAGCCCAGTGGTATTGAAAACAACCCAAACTGTCTGCTTAAGAAATTATCCAACAAAGAGTCACCAAAATGCAATGGGTTTTTTTTTCATCAATTTTCTGCTGAAGGATTTGAAATTTGACAGGGCACCGTGGGGGGTGCAAGGCAAAGGGGTTAGAAAGTTGGTCATTACGCAGAGCTGTCATTGCAAATTATCTTTGTCCAGGGTGAGAAGTTCTAGCTCATTTGGTGCTCAGACAGGTCTAGGCCTTAGGCAATTTGTTACAGTTCCCCCGTGCTGTTAAGTGGACCCCAGGCACTAATTTTCCCCTCTCTGTGCAGCTGGAATCACCTGGGAGCCCCTGCGGGCCAGAGCTGCCCATAGAGACTCTGCTGGAGGATCGGGAGCGAAGGATTTCCCATTCGCTCTACGGTGGAATCGAGGGGCTCAGCGAGTCACCCACAAAGAACGTGGCACTGAGTAGGATAATGGGTGAGTCAAAGCAGCTCTGCTAAACGGGGCATGTTTTTATTCCTTTCTCTGATTCATCGAAGGACAATTAATGTATTATGTGGGAATCAAGAAACATGGAGGTTGCACTGACCGACGTAAAATGTGCCTTAAAATTGTTGCACGCAAGCCTGCTGGATAGTCAATGTGAGGAAAAAAAAGTCAAATGGAATATTGCACGCAAGCCTGCTGGATGGTTCATGTGAGGAAAAAAAAGTCAAATGGAATTCTAAAGTGAATTTTGTATCCTGTGGCAGGTGACAGAACAAATAACAGTAGCATTTAACATGTTTCTTTAAACGTCTGATCCGAGACAATAAATTATTGGCTGGCCTAGGCTCCATATTGAGTTTTCAGACTCATCCAAGTCAGTGATTCATGGGAATTTATGATTTTTTTCATCATTTCTTCTCCTCTGTTTCAGTCCTACTAAGATACAAAGATAAATAAGGCAAACTTACATCCATTTACGCTTATTAGGGCATTTCATTAATTTGTTTGAATTTTTGCTTGGCAAAATTGTTTGAATTTGAAAACATCATCAGTAATTTTAAGCATCCCTTGCGTAGATTCTGTACCATACCATCTGTGTGGTCCCAGTGGATAATGAGGTTATTAGTGGTTGCAGCAATTCAACTTCTGATGTACAGAGCTAGGTAATAAAGACTTGTCTTGCCACAGAAGTGGTTGGACTTACTGACTGGGATGGGATTAGTTTGAAAGGATTTTCAAATTTAAACACAAAAAGCAGCTTGATGAAAATAGCACCTGACAGAAGACGTGACAATTGCTTGCCTGAGTTGCAGGTTTTAAACAGAAGATGTGGCCATTAAATCTGGGATTTTTTTTAGTGTACAGGGAATATGTTGGAAGATGCTGCTTTAAACTTGTTATGAAGCCAGGCTGAACTTATTTTTTTAATTGCTTTAGATTGATTTTTCAGTCTTAGAAAAATGAAGTCCACCCATGAGGATTTTTCCAGTCAACAGTTCATGTATATTTTTCACCCTTTTTTGGGGTGTGGGTTTTTTCTGTTTTATTTTTTTTTTTAAATTTTTGTATTTTGGGGGTTGTATTTTCTTTGTAGTAACAGAATAACAGTGTTGTTAGACTCTATGAAAATCCACAAGTTTGCTATTTAGGGCATTTCTTCCATGAAGTCTTTTGTACTTTTTTTTTGTGCATTTGGGCAACAGTAATTAGAAACAAATCATATTCTGTTCTATTGCATTTCATTTGGTTCAGCTCAGATGAAAATCAAGGAAGCATGAAACCCTGTCACCCCAAGTCATACACTCTTAAAGAGAACAATTAAAAACCCCAACTATTTATTTATTGACAAATTTAAGGAGTGATAAAATAATTTGAAGTTTCAACAAAAGATAAAAATCTTCCTGAAATTATTAATATCTAATGTTTTAGATTACCTCTGGAGTGTAAACATATGGAAAAAGAAATCCATCCTGCATTTTCTAAGTTTTTTATAACCTGAAGTTAATGTTTTGATTTCCTCTGAGTCATTGTTTTTCTGTATTGTTTTCAGGAGCCAGGAACTATGTAAAAAATTGGTTGGTTGTGACTTAAATCCATTGATGCTTTAGTGGAAGCATTTGGAAAATCAAATTGTGCCTGAACCTCATAGTACATGTGATTTAGTAAAGAATAACTGAAAACTGGGCTTGCCAGGACTGGGCTGTTGCATTCTGCAATCACAGCAACATTGCAGAGCTGTCATGTTTCAACCCAATTTTTGGGGGAACAGGCAGTCTTCTAATACACTAATTTTTCTGAATTCATCAGTACCACTTAGTTAAAACTGCAGTGTTCATAGTCTGTTGTTGCATGCATGTTTTCTTGCAGTACCATCAACAGAGAGGCAATATTACCTGTTGGGGCAGATAGGTCCAGTTGCTTGTTTCCATAATAGCTAACATCTGTAAGACTTGATCATTTGTTATGCAGTGGAATTACTGTCCTTTTTAGCATAGAGGATGAGAAAAAACTCAGTGCTTTTTTTTATTTTCTTGAGAATGTTTAAGTGGTGTTACATGACTCTTCCAGAGATTTTTTTGCTCTCTTGAGAACTGGCCTAAAAGTGAGGATTAGTCCTAAGAGGAATCTGGCTGAGGAAGGCTGGAGCTCTGTCCCTTCCCATGCCAGCCCTGATCATGAAAACAAGCCAAAAAAAGTGTTTTATGCAGTTCTGGTTCCCTTGAGTGCTCTCCTGATACCAAGACTTACAGACTCTCTGAATCACCTGATGTCTTTTTATTTACCCTTCAAAGGGTTTAACTATGTGAAATTTTAGTACTCTCTGTACTTTGTAGTGAGAAGGTTACAGTTTGTTTCCATGGGTGTAGGAGTAGGTCTTTCTGCTACTATTCTGTTTGGATTAAATTATAGATTTTGAGTTTTCTTCCTTTCTATAAGCTAGATTTTTCACAAGCAGTATCTCAAAGTGGGAAATGCCTGCTCTTTTCTGTCATTGCTTAAAGTTGGAACAAAGCTTTTAAGAGGGTTTTGTTTCTTTTAAATACAGCTAATGTAATTTTCAGGAAAGGTATTTAAGACAATTTCCTTGCTCTTTCAATCCATAACTGACAGCAAGAACTGGTTGTCAGAGCCTTGCTGTGAGAGTGGGAATAAAATACCAATTTTAGAAGGTGATTTAAATTATGTAAAATAATGTTTGCTTACAGCAAAAAGGCTACAATGAATCTTTTAATGTTGCTGACGATTCTCATGTTGATCTACTTTTCTAGATAATTATGGCTATTATGAATTTTCTTATGCTTTTTCACTTTATAATATGTCACTGAAAAATTCTGATGGAGGAAAGATAGGACTTTCTCTATTTAGGGAATGATATTTTTGATTTAGATGTGGTGGGTTTTTTTATTTATACTAGTTAGGTTTTCTCTTTGAAAAATTAGATGGTGGCAACAAACCCTTATGTTTGTTTATTTTAATATTTTCAGGTTGCATGTTGTTAGCACATTCAGAATAGCAACAATACGGGTTTGCTTGGCTCTATGATTAAAAATTCAAGTCCCTTCCTCTGATGCACTATTCCTGTATATCATCTATTATGCTTCTGAGTTTTGCAATACACAAATACATAGCTGCTCTCTATATAAATTATTCTTATTCAACAAACAGCTTAGTACAAAGTCCTCTTTCATCTCTTTCTTCTAGTTGCTGATATTTTTTTTATGAACATGGTGGGGTTTGTTGCTAAAGGTGACTAAACAGAAGTTATTTATTGGGAGGTACACAAAATAGCAATCACTTGCACTAAATCTGCTTTTCATTCTGAAGGATCCCCCAGAACTTTGTAAAATTTGGTATTTCCTACACAACAGGAAATACTTTGTTCTTTACATAAATAATTGCTATCTAAAGGATGGAATCAGGTGGAAGCACTACTGACAGAAATTTGGCTAGAGATGTAGAGTGTGTGTGTCAGTGAAATGAAAATAACCCTTTACAATCAGAGTGTAGCTCCCTGACCAGGAATCTCATCAGAATGTGGTGCCCTGCTACAACAGTCTTGACAGGTCTGAGCACTCTCTTGAAATCCAAGGCCTGGATATAGTGGAGAAATTTTTGTCCTTAGATGTTCCCCAGACATCTGTTGTACAATTGGTCTGAATGCCACAGTATCAAATGATCATGAGTGACTCCTAAAGTAATACTGTGTTTTGAATATATGATGAGAATGTTTAACAAATTTCATAGACCTTCCTTTAAAGACAAAGCAATAGCAAAAGCACAAGGATCAAGCCAGATATAGTTCCATGACAATGCAGTGTCACTATGGGAGCCAAATTGTTCCAGCAAATATATTAACCAAACTTCAGGGATTTTCCGGATTTAAATGGACACGGAGCAATTTTAATTCTTCATGAGTAAGATTGTTGTTCATATTATGTACTGTGTTTGCTCAGGGGTTTTTTGAGTGCTCTATGTTGGTGGTTTAATTCAAGACCAAACTGTTTTCTGATCTGCTAATAGATATATAATAGTTTTGAACTGTTGCTGTTTGGCATATTTTTTCCTTCTAAGATGAAAATTCTCACAGACCTAGAGACCAGCCATTTGGTACTGGAGCTCTGAGGCTTCTTTTTCTGCAGAAACAGATGGGAATCCTTCTTACCCCATAGTTTGGTGTGGTCCTCAGGCTATGCTTCTTTAGATGGGTAACTTGGCCAAGAAATTTGAGCATCATTGTCCTGAGATAAGACACACTTGAAAGGGAGAATGTTTTCCCTTGCTTAGTACACTGTCCAAAATACTTGATGTTATTATAGATTACCTCACTGAAGTAAAATTAATATATGCAAAACTGGACTTGAAGTGTATTCAGAGTCTAAATTTTCTAGCCTGAGGGAAAATGACTGTCTTGAGGAGGTTTCTAGACAGCTCAAGCGATGCCTTAGATTTGTAAATCAGTCAAATATCCTGATGATTACTGGATTTGAAGTTTATTTGATGTTTCCTTGTAAAGTTTCTCACAACACATGCAGGGTTAATTCTCCAGGGGTATTTTCTGTCCACTTCAGCTGAGTTCTCTACAAAGGATGTACTGAGTCTGTTGCTGAGGTTAGTTTAACCATCTGTTGGAGGCAAAGCCTTTCACCTGTTTTTAGCTTCATCTGCAATGAAAAGCATAGGAATGTCAGATGGGTTTTCTCCTAAATTCCAAAGCAACTATTAAAATGTCGGTCTTCACCCTGGTCAGATATAAAGAAGGGTAGTGAAAAGTTAAAAATATTACTGAATTCCTGTAGCCTCTCAAATGGGAAGTTCAATCTGCCGAATGCCGTAAGGTTATACCATTTCACAACCAGTTCTTCGGAGACATTAACTACAGAGTGAACAGTCTTGTAGGCATTTTGTTTGGAAAGAAGTACATTAGCAGGCTAAACATTAACCTGTTCATCAAAGGAGCCATTGCTGGGCAGAATCAGCTGTTATGCAAACTGCATACATTCATTTCAGTTTGACAGTGATGAGATGTTCATCGTGCAGTGCCTCTTTCTTCCAGCCACTTCTTCAGCCTGACTTAATGATCTCTCTTGAACCAGATTTCTCCCCTTTGGAAAGCTGAACAAAATGTATTATCTGGTGCAGTGAGGATTTTAACAAGCTCTTAACACATAAGGTTTTGTTTGCTTGTTTGTTTTTTAATAATTCCTGCACAGTTAGTGATTGGTAACTGAAATATTTCCAGAAAAGAGGAAAAGATTATTTTCCCTTAATTCTACACAATTTTCCCATATCTACAGGCAATATAAAGTGTGGAAATATTTGATGTTTCCATAGAATCAGTTTATGTTACTGAAATATAAGTTTTGCAGTATACTACTCCAGTGCATCATAATTTTAGAATAATTTATAGTTTGTTGTCAGATTGATTGTTGGTTGATTAAGCTACTGTGTTTCTTCTCATGAAATGTGACAATTTTAGTAATTGTTTCAGTAAGATCATATCATCTTTTTACATGTACTCTCACAAATGAACCCAATAAAGTCTGCCACTGAACAGAGACTAAAGTTGAGTCTGTATTATGACCCTTTCATGTATGTGATGGCTCTAGTTTAAACATTTTAATATCAGTGTTAAAACTTGAATTTGGTGGTAATAGAATTGGGTAAATTTTTTCAAAATTTTGCATGTGTGCCTCCAAATTATTTTTTTAAAGGAGAGAATGAAAATTTGGAATCATTTAGCTTTAGTCATGATTTTTCATCACATTTCACAGTTCTCTCATTTGTGGATGTATTATTAAAGGATTCGTTTAGCTTTAGTCATGAATTTTCATCACATTTCACAGTTCTCCCATTTGTGGATGTATTATTAAAGGATTCCAAGTTCCTAACAGCAGTGGAACAATTTGAGTCAGTGTTATCAGTAGCACTGCAGTTTCACATGACCTTTTATCACCTGTGATTATGTATTTTTCAAGGCACTCTCTGCCATTATTTAGTTTTGGGGTTTTTTCTCCCTTTTGTTCAGGTAAATATCAGCTGTCTCCAACGGTGAACATGCCCCAGGATGACACTGTCATTATTGAAGATGACAGGCTGTCGGTCCTTCCTCCTCATCTCTCTGACCAGTCATCATCCAGTTCCCACGATGATGTTGGGTTTGGCACAGTTGATGCTGGTGGATGGGCTAAAGCTGCAATTAATGAGTCAACAGACTGGTAAGAGCATGGTTTAGTGGAAGGCAAAACCAGATGGCTGTGGTTGCCTCTTTTCCTTTAGTTACATTTTTGGGTACTGCTAACATTAAGTTTTTTCGTCACATTTAGATTTTACTGTTTTCAAACTGGTAACTGTCCCTGTTTCAGGAAGTTAGTTGGTACAGATTTATTATATTGCCATATATATATATATATCTAAAAGCCTTTCAATGCTTCTGTGTACTTTCTTGCTTTTCCTAATAATGTACAGTAATTTTAAAATCTCCTTAGAGGTCGAGACAGCTCTTTATTTTGCCTTTAGTGCTAATGCTTGTACTAAAAGAACTAGTTAAGATTTCTTCATTCTGTGTGAAAAAATAACCTTTCATATCATTGTGATTTGTAGACAGTGAACTGTAATAGCTCTGTATTTAAATGTATGGAAAGTAATAGTTCCACATTTAAAACTATAGAAAGTAACTTTATATGTTTTATCCATAGTAAAAATAATTTTGGTGAGTCTTAGGTTGACTCTCTGATTACTTCAATACCTTTTAATATTAGAGTCTTAATAAGAAATGCATTGAGCTCCATTATTGACTTGCTTAGGTTCCTGGCAAAGAAATACTGTTTATTGCTTAGTTAGTACAATTAATACAGATCTAAGATTTAATTTGCAAGTCCTGTAATCATCTATAGTAATGGCAAAACAAAAGCCCACCCCTGTACACTGCCACTTACTGAAGCTAGATAATTACCACAAATGGTGTGAAGTGTATGAATTTTCTTATTTTTCTTGTCTCTTGAGCCTGTTATGAATGTCAGCAATATCTTAATAAAACAGCAATAGCATCTGCCAGCTGATATGTACCTGTCAGCTATTTCTTTTCTTTATATTAGTTTATTTCATCTTATGTCCAGGAATTGTATTTTAAGCACTGTTTTAGTGATTGTATAAAAAGGTAATTTTTTTCATCCTGATGTGCCTTTTTTTTTTTTTTAATATTAGATTTCTTCTTATGGACAAGTCACACCTGTAATTTGGGCCTGTGAAAAGTCCATTTGTCTTTTATAAAAGCTTTTTGAGCTGAGAATCTGAGACATTTAAATAGGATAGTACTCAATCTGCACATAATAGTGTATTGGTGAAGGAGATTTTTTAGCTGAATATGAGAAAAAACATATGACAGAAAGTAAAAGCTCATTTGAAACCTGCAGATGGTTTTGCATTGACTTCTGCTGCAAGTCTTGCTATTCATATACTTCTTTGTCAATGAAAGTAACAGTAAAGAAAATAGGGATTAGATATTGTGGAACTGATTGTGCTCAAAAAACCTTTAAACGTTGTATGAGAAACTGTAAAGGTCTTCAGATACAATGACACTTAAAAGAGGAGATCAGTGCAGCACTTTACTATCTAATGTATTCTATTTGTAAAAAAAGTAAATAGCAGTAGAATTAGATTGTTGCATTAATTTCCTGAGGCTAATGGATGAAGGAAGACTTGTAAAACGAAGGTGCACTGAATGATTTTGCTGGAAGGCACAAAGGGTAAAAACTAAGAATATGGATGAAGGGTTATCCAAACAAGAATGGCAGCTGTTCTGAATCACAGAAGAAAATGTAAGCTTTTCCAGCCTCACAATATCTCCCTAATCCTTGATGAAAATGTTATGAAAACAAAGGGGCAATAAGACAGGATTAATAAGTGGAATTTTAATAACATTGAGGGTCAGAAGACGGTTACATTCTTTTAAGGATCAGCTGTCATTCCAGAAATCTTATTTGTTAAGTATGCTAGAATATAGTAAATTGCATTTGGCATTGCTTAATGACTTGCACTAAATTCACCTTCTGCCTTTTATTGATGTGGTTGAAAAATATTAAAATAAGGTATTTTTAAGGGCATTAGTTCCTTCTCTGTGCTCATTGGCTTTTGCAGTTGTGGCTCTTCCTGGGGACTTTTGAATACTTATAGAGAATGTGCATGCATTCAAATTCCTGTGATCTGCTTCTTCCTTCATTACTAAAACATGCTCATGGGTCATTAAAAATAGAAGTAAAACAGGGCATGAAATTTGATAACTCTACACAGGGCAGATAAAGGTGCTAAGTAGCACCTTTAATGTGCAGGATACTATGTAAACATGGAATAATAATTCCAACCTCTCTTGATTTTAATCAAGATTTTTAATCTTGCAGAAAAATCTGCAAGTGTGTGTGGAAGGAAGGTGTTATAAGCTCCAGATCAGGGAACCAGAGGCAAAGTCCCTAATGGTAGTGTCAGTGGAAACACTAGGATCCAATCTCCCAAATTCCCAACTGCTGATGCCATGTCCACACCCCACTGCTCTTTCAGGGTCTGTTGGTGTCCTTTTGGAGTTATAGTTGACTTTGGAGTTTTAGTCTTTTCTTAGGACTTCAATATGTATGTGTGTGCTATATTTACATGGAAATAATATTCAGCTCTATTAGAGGCTTTATACAGGTGGATCAAAGCAAGTTCATATGAAAAAAAAAGAAGGATACAGCCAAATGAAATAGCTGCAGAAATTCACCCTTTTTGTAGAAAGTGTCACATTTTGTTTGGCAAGATTAAGCCAGTTATCTTTAACAAATGTGAGCTGTGCTAACACATGTTGCTGGACAAAATTTTCACTTAGTAAAACCACATTTTTCTGGTCTTCAGAGACATGACTGACTAGCAGTGAGCCAGAAACTCCTGTGTGGCCTTGGGAAAGTCAATTATGATCTGATTATGAAAGGTGTTGAAACCCTGTAAGTTGTTTGAGTCACTCTGGAGGATGTTTTTAGACTTAGGTGGTTCTTACTCAGCTACATTACACTGCTGTAAATGCTTGAAATTTATATTGGCCTTGTCTGTTTTATCTTTCTATCATGTGGAGATAATTTTTTCCCTATTTTGTAGGAGTGAATGTAAGGACTAAACAGTTATTTTTGAGTTTGGTCTCTGATTCATCAGAGCTTTTAAGCATATGCTTCAAAACACTGCTAAATTGCACAGACATCTCTGAAATAGTTGCAGTAATTAAATGTAAAACACTATGAGCCTGAGCCAGAAACATTAAAGTCAAAAGGCACTTGACATTGGCTTTATTCATATAAGCTCTGATCCTGCTCACACTGAAGTATTATATGCTTGTCACATCCACATATCTTATTATTTGTAAATCTGCTATAACTAGAGTGAGTTTCTCCTTAGCTGCCTGGTAATGCAGAGAGTGATTTTTGTCCTTTTTAGTACTTGATGCCTTTGGACACTTTTCCTTGCCTCTCTTGACACTCATGCCTAATACCCAGGTGTTTCTTCATCAAAGATGCTGCTGGAAATCATAGTACATGGCCTACAGAAACATGTGCATGTTACAGAATTTAAAAGTATAAGTTGGTTTCTGCAGAAATTCACTATTTGCCTGTTTCTCACTAGGAATGAGATGCATATTACACTTAGCCCTTAAAGTAGAAAATTGTTCTTTTGCACCATGTTGCTAAACAGTAACATGTATGTTCACAGTATTTTGAATGGCATTTAGAGATCTATTTAGAGGTGTACTTAGAGACCTCAGTGACAAAATATTTAGCTTTTTTATTCTTGAAGTACAGCAACAATCAAAGAGGAGATCTTGAGAGATCATTTTCCTATAGGTTAGATAACAATGGTGCAAAATATTAATTTTTCAGTATTTTATCCTTTTGATTTCATTTTGCACCAGATAAAAATCTAAATACTCTCCCCTGTTCCAGGAGTCAGAAGATGTTTGTGTGAATTTCCTTTCATACTGTTTATTAGCAATAAGCAATCTTGCTTTTTTTTTTGAAAAAGGGTATTTTTAAAATGTGCTGTGGCCATAGGGACACACTGCAAGCCTAGGGTGTAGCTTGCACACCAAATTTTGATTGCACTCTTGCATTCTTGATTCTGCCAATATTTGACCAACATTAATAAATCTACCTTTGGCATGCTTCTGATGAAGCTCACTGCTGACCTGACTCACTCAGCCTAGGTCACATAAAAAAAACCTGCAGAAGAAACCAAACCTCAATGCAGTTACCCATCTCAGTGATTTGGTGGTGGATCCATTGTAGCAAATGCTTGTGCTGTAGGGAAGCAATTTGTAAAAATATGCTTGTCTGCATGGCCAGGTTAAAAGGAAGAAAAGCTGTGAAAATGAAGCTCACTGCTGACCTGACTCACTCAGCCTAGGTCACATAAAAAAAACCTGCAGAAGAAACCAAACCTCAATGCAGTTACCCATCTCAGTGATTTGGTGGTGGATCCATTGTAGCAAATGCTTGTGCTGTAGGGAAGCAATTTGTAAAAATATGCTTGTCTGCATGGCCAGGTTAAAAGGAAGAAAAGCTGTGAAAAATTTGCAAAATATATGCTTGTCATATTTTTATATTGTCATAGGTTAAAAGGAAGAAAAGCTGTGAAAAATTTACAAACGGTTTCACATATGGAGAGAAATTTTAATTCAAAGTCTTTAAATAAAGAAATTTTAATTCAAAGTCTTTAAATAAAGAACTTTAAAGCTCTGTGGGCTTCAGGCAGGACAGAGTCTATTTATGCTTTCCGAAAAACATTTTCTGATGAAGAAAAGTCTGATAAATTTTCTATCTGTATAATATATTTGTTGCTCAGGAAGAAAAAAGGAACTGTTCTATTCTTCCTCAAATTATTCCTGTGTTGGGCTTTACTTTCTGATAGTATATGTAGAGTGCCCCAGATATGTATGTCTTTCATTAAAGCTCATGGGTGAAATTCTTGATACTATTTAACTAGAATTGCTTGATGCAGTAAAACATGTGTGTACCCAAGTGATTGCATTGGTTTATTTAAAACTGTGCACTTTATCTTTAGTAGAAGTCACGTGCTAAATAAATGCTTTTCTCTGAAGAGTGAAAGGTTGCGTGACCTTGATCAATGTTCACATGATTTTTTTCCCTTCTTACAGCACTCTTAGTCCAGATGTTGATCCAGTACTTGCCTTCCAGCGAGAGGGTTTTGGACGCCAGAGCATGTCAGAAAAGCGTACAAAGCAATTTTCAGATGCCAGTCAGTTGGAGTTTGTTAAAACACGAAAATCCAAAAGCATGGATCTAGGTAGTGAGTGATATTTTTTTCAATTTTTTTTCTTATTTGAACCTGATTTTCATGTTGTAAGTATATAGATTTTGTCATTCAGACATATTGTGTATGTGCAGCACTACTGTGCATAATGTCTACTGGTGGGAAGGATTTACTTGCATGGCCAAGTGGCCTGTGTGTTGTTTGTTGTTTGTAAATGTCCATACATTCAAACATTGCAGCCCTCTGGATATGTGGTTATACATGAAGATAATAACCAGTATTTATTAAAATGGAGGTGAAAAGTGCATTTACCAATCCATATGGAATAACTATGTAAAACTACCACACTGTGGTTCTGGGTAGCCAGGTTTATTCTCAGTTCATGATTATAAAGCAGTTAGCCTTAAAGGTCCTTCATAGCCTCTCATTTTGTAGATGAATTCAGAATTGAAATTGGGGCTAGGCTGACATCTGCTTGAGACTCAAGTTTTAATATTTAACAGAAACCCTATAAAGTATCAGCAGCTAAGACAGGCAATCAACTATGATCATTTTAACTGATAAACCAACTGAGAATATGTAATTGCTAACAAGCCCATCTATTTTTCTGCCATTGAATTCAGATTCTGAAGTGCAGACTCTAGTAACCTTAAACAGTGAGTTTTGATTGTTTAAACACACAGAATTCCCTACTCAGAATAATAAAATAGAATGCAATTCACTCCTTTACAATAGTTGTGAATATCTTAGCTACAATCCCTAATTCACCAACTTCCTCAGGGGCCAGTAAGGTTGGTGGTATTGACTTGTCTTGACTAGCTGCGATGTGCTAACGTGTAAATAACATATTGTACCTGCCTGGGATGTGAACATGACTGACATTGCATGAAGGTTACTAGTTTGCTGCCATTTCTACCCAGAATGTTTGCTTACTGTTGCAGTCTATTTGCATGAAGTATGACATTGCTAAGGTCCCCTAACTTGAAAAAAAAAAAAAAAAAGCAAACCAGAAGGAATGTTGGATGCATGTGGGGCATGGGCACTAACTGGGCTAACCGTTATGCATTTACCTTTTAACAGTAGCTGACGAGACTAAGCTCAGTACAATGGATGACCAGAAAACAGGTAAGAATTGACAGTAAGGCTGTTGCTATAGAAACCTTGGTCAAAGCAGCTTACCACAATTACAGAACTGCCAGTCAAATTGCATGAAAACATGAATATTCCAGTACTTGCATGGCTGCTTTCTATTGTTGTGAATAATCAAGTCGTAGAGAAAAAGAAAATTCTCCATAGAGATAAGTATCTAGGGTGGTATATTCAACCAGGTCGTGCATGTGACTGTAGGCAGACACCTGTTTGTACACTTTGAACTCATAAATATTCAGAATTGTTTGGGGTTTTTTGTCCTTTCAAAAAAATCTTGGAAATCTCCTCCTAGCTTCAAACTGTAATGCACAGAGAGATGATTTAGAAGAGTTGAGTGTTTGGCTATTACAGTGCTAACACAGTGCTTGGAAATAATTATTTTAATTAGAAAACTGCTACCTTTGCCTTAAGTGGTCATCAGATACATGTTGTGAGTTGAGTTGAAGATTATTTGTGCAAGTTGATTTGCCTTTGGAGCTGAAACCTGAGCATCGTAACAGAACAAAAGAATATGTAAATGAATCTTTTCCACATACCATTCATTGTAATGTTTCACAAAATGATAATGAGAAATAGCTTTCAAGGCATATTTTTTATTAGTAATTAAAATAATGCACCAACTGCAATTATGAACCTTTATGATTTATTAATATAAGTTAGCTTTTGACCTATGGAATGCTATTTTAATTAGACTAGATGCAGAGGACACCGTAACATTACTTAGCTCTAATTAGGAACAATTCACCTTTTTAACCCGAAAATGTTATTTATTTTAGCATGATTTGAAAAGTAGTACATTCCATACAGAATTTACAATTACTAATTCACAACTGCATCTCTGTTTAACCAGACTTTCTAACATGAGCAGGAATACCGAAAAGCTATAAGGAATCAAGTGATAAAATTACAATTTTTATTTAAACAGCTAAGCCTTCTAGCTCTTAAAATGTTGCAGAATATGGCCACAGACTTGCAGCTTTACAAACTGAGAATGAGTACACACAATTAAAATGTATGAATGTTTTGAAGGATTGAAGCCATCAGAGTGTGAACGTATGAATTGTATTAATGGTTGTGGTAATAATCAGTACTTAGAAACCACCTTCACCCCTGAGCATTAGTCACATAAAAAGGAGTTAAAGATCAAACTCAAAATTATTGTCAATTATTTTTCATTTCCTTATTAACCTGCCTATTGGAATGGGTTGTGATGAGAATGGTGTAAAATGTGTGTGTTTTAGTAAAATGTGATGCTTAGGTTTTGTGGTATCAATAGAGGTTGTTATGAACTGAGTGTAGTTTTTCTCTACTTGTAACACCTGGATTAAATTCCAAAAAAGTGACAATTCGGACAACTTGGGTAAAAGAGCATGACCATACCATCTGGACTAGGCAGTTACATATTTTGTGCACAGCAAGCTCAGTGGCTGGAAAAAAAAAGGAAAAACGACTTTTACTGTACTTTTACTTTATTTATCTTGCATGCTTTTAACCAGGTTTTGTATATAAACATTGGATTTCTCCCATTACTGAAGATGGATGTGGCTGTTAAACAAACCACTTACTGTAGTTTGACTTAAAAATTGTCTGATTCTAAGAAAAAAAATGCTTCAAATGTGTGGTGAACTACGCTTTAATGAACTGTAGAAGCCAGAAAACTTCAACATATATTTACTTTAGAAAATTAAAAACAAACTCTGTTACTGTCACAGTTGGACTTAATAGTATTAGCTGAAAAGGAGAGATTAGAACTCACCAGCCCTAGTTACCTTAATAGTTTTTTAATTGTTTTTCTTTCTATAGTTCACTTGAAGTACCTAATCCTTGCAGTGTTTACAGTTCATCCTAGAGGTTAGAAGTATATTCAGTAGCAATTGAGCATGGCTCATTTATTGAATCCCAGGCATACTATAGGTCTAGGTGGCTATTTTTCCATGTACACATTATGAAAATGAAAAAGGAAGAAAACAATCAAAGAACATTTATTTAAATTATTTATTGATCTATTTTTTTTCCCAGTGCTTTTTAAATAAACTGTTTTATTAAATGGAACCCAAACTAAAGTGTTTTTCATGCAGTTACTTGCTGTATTCCTCCCCTGCTCTGCCCAGATGAAGTGTTACTCTCTTAGTGTCTGAATTGAACTAGAAATGGAAGAATTTATCAAATGTAAATGGAGCAGATGTTAGGCAGTAGAGAGACTCACTGCTAATGTTGTCCAAGAAAGTGTTTAGAAAGTAGACTTCTTCTTTTGCAAAACTGGTTTAATCAAATTTTGGCATCAGTTGCAGATAGCATTTGACTTGACAGTTCATAATAATAATGTTTCAGAAAGAAAAAAAATTGTCATTAAAAATGATTTCAAAGAATGTGCTGATGAAAAATTTACTTATAGACTAAAATTAGACACGGGATGAAACCCAACATCATTTGACACCAGACATTTTTGCCTTTGCAAATCGCCCAAGCAGATTTGTGTCGCTGTAAATAATTAACGTAAGGTGAGAGAAGTTGGAAGCACAAGGAGTTGTTAAACATCAGCACAAGGGGGAAACAAAGGGCTTGGAGCAGGGAACAGCACATCAACTTCATGTGATGTCTGTGTATTAATGGTGTGCTGGTTTGGGCTGAAGTGGAGTTAACTTTCTTCCCAGAGGCTAGTATGGGGCTATGTTTGGGTTTTGTGCAGAACACAGAGTTGATAATGCAGAGATGTTTTTGTTATTGCTGAGCAGAGCTCACACAGAGCCAAGGCCTTTGCTGCTTTCCATACTGCCACACTGGCAAGGGAGTTGGGGATGCATGGGAGATTGGGAGGAGACACAGCTGGGACAGGTGACCCAAACTGACCCAAGGGATATTCCATACCATAGCACATCATGCTCAGTGTATAAGGTGGGAGGAAGAAGGAGGAAGGGGGGACATCTGGAGTGATGGTGTTTGTCTTCCCAAGGAACCGTTACGCGTGATGGGCCCTGCTCTCCTGGAGATGCTGAACACCTCCTGTCTGTGGGAAGCAGTGAATTAATTCCTTGTTTTGCTTTGCTTGTGTGTGCAGCTTTTGCTTTCTCTACTAAACTGTCTTTATCTCAACCCATGAGTTTTTGTAGCTTTTACCCTTCTGATTCTCTCCCCCATCCCATTGGTGGGGCAGTGAGTGAGAGGCTGCTGGTTCTTGGCTGCTGCTGGGGTTAAACCACGACACTGGTCTGGTAGGATCTGTGTGTGCTGTGAGGTTAGGTGCTCGGGGCTGTCTGTGCTCTGTGGGAGTGATGCACACACTGCCTGCACACTCCTGCATCAGCAGGGATGGCTGAGAGGGCAAGGGTTGGGCCTTGTCCCCAAGGGCTGGCCAGGTGGGGACACAAGGGATGGAGATGCAGGTGTGGTGGGCAGGACCTGTGCTTGGCAGGGTGGTGTGAGCATGTGGCAAAGCTCTCAAGAGATGGGTAGAGGTGTGGGGCACGTAGAGTAGAGCTGTGTGGCTGGGTATGTGAGGAGAGTGTGTGCATGGTGGCAGGCATGGCAGGAGGATTGCTGTGGTACAGGGGGATGAGTCTACCTCAAAGGATATTTTTAAATAAAATCGTCAGAAAGGAAAATGTTGATAAACTTCACATTTTATCAGTGATAAAAGAATCCCTTTCATCCTCAGTCATAGAAATACGCTTTAGGTAGATGTGTCTCTTCCTCTGCTGTTTTTTTTCTGCTTTAAATTCTGGTGTCAAAATAGAAGTTGAACTCATTCTGAGCAGATAACATTTCTGATGATTACCACCAGTGCTGTAAAGGCTGCAAGAAAATGCTGACATTTTTGTATTTAGTAAACAAGGTTTTGATGTGACTCATAAATTTTAAACAGAATCCATTTTAAAGAAAGTTTGCTGTTTTTTACCAGATTATAGGTAAACAACTCACTTTCTGGCTGGTGAATTCTAGTAATAAATTCTTAACTTACTCAATTTACAGGGAGACTTAACTATATATTTTGAAAACAGTAGATTTGCTATGAAGTAGCCACAGAAGATAGTGAAGGTATTAAAACAGTTTTATGATTACAGTGCTTTAATTGCTTATGAAAGGCGATTTCCCCATTTCAGATTCTGCAACCTGTTCACATTTCTGTTCATGGCCACCTGAGTTCAATAAATATTCTTATCATTTCTGTAATCTATTATTAGTTTTACAGTACTCAAGGAACATTAGATCACATCCCATCTAGCTTTTCCTTTGGGAAAGCATAGCTTACAAAAAGACAGTTCTCACAAAGATCTGTATTGGGTGTCAGGAAATTGCATTTTTTTAATGTCCTTTATGAACATAAATGGGCACATAAATGCCTTCTTTATAATTACTGTTTACAAGAAGAGCCACTGAGTAATTAGGAAAAGATATATGAGCATTTCATTTGGAAGACTGCAAAGCAGAATGCAGAATAAGGAAGTTTACAGTAAGTTTCCATGTAAGAGGACACCCTTTCCTTTTGTGTATGAAATTGGATCTGTCAAACAGCTGGTTTGTATAAGGTTGTCCTGTTTCCTCTTTTTTCCTTCAAAATGTTGCATTCACATTTTTCTGTCTTGTTCGTTGTTTTTTTAAAAAAATACAGTCTTGCAAAAGAAAAAGCAAAATAAAGTCTCCATTTCTTGTGTACAGCAGGAGTTAGTGGAGGAATAGCAGATTTTGGCATATACTAGAGAGTGGACAGTTTTATAGGACACTATCTTAATTGGAGTTCTTTTACTTCAGAAAGAGAATGTTATGTCAAACATTTGCCTTAGACTTCAGAAGTTTGGTGATCCTGCAGTGCAGCTTGTTTGAAATCTGGGAAGGCACCAACCTTCCTTAGTCCCAGCTGTCCTCATGGCCCTCAGCCCTCCAACAAGAACAGGCTATGAGTGAGAGGCTAACTTCTTCTAGGAGATGTGAGTTATTCCAGATAAAATTTCTCATTTGTTGGGGTGTGTTTATTTCTGGCTGAGGGTCCAAGCAGGACCAAGCAGGGAACCTGCAGGAGTTGTGTAGGTCTGAGAGAGGATTTTTGGTTTGTTTCTGTTTACAGGTTCATCTTATCAGTAGGGCAGCTCAAGGGGAATACTTTGACAGCTGCTGTTTGAATTTATTTGATCTAAGGGATTTCAGTTTAACATAATTGCTCAGACTTTTAATGGCTGAATATAAAATGAAGGTTTGCTGCCTTGCTCCATCTCATATCAAGTTAACAAATGACATGGAGAAGACTTGTCATGCTGCTATTCTGCCTCCCTTCTGTGGGCACAGCAACTCCCTTCCTCCCCAGCCAATAGTGAATACTTTGAGTAGTGTAGTAGCAGTTTTCCCCAGTTTAAGGTAACTTCACATACCTTTCTTATAGAGTGGTGACAGATACTGTCTCTCTTCTCTCTCTTAATACCTACCAGAATAGGGATTAACTTCAGAACTTTATGTTAATCTGAGATTAAAAAAGCCAGTTTCCCTTTATCACACCTTTATTCACACCAGACCATGCTTACTAATGTACAGTTCATAGGCTTGGTATTCCTGGGGGTTCTGGTCTTAGATAAGGATACTGATATCAACTGAGTAACAGCCCACCACCTGGGACTGCTGTGGTGCCACAACACTTCTCTATTCTGCTCCCTTTGGGTAGATAAAATTGAGGATTTCATATGATAGGTGAGGGCTCTAGTCTTGTAACTTCAGGAAATGTAGCCATGTCCCACCTCATCTTGCTCTCCAATCCCAAATCCTATGGAAAAATCTAGCCAAGACTCTACTGCTCTTTTGAGTAAAATCACTTGAAATACATGCAGTGATTTTTTTTTTCCCTCTGAAAGATTTCTCTCAGTTTTAACTATAATATTGAGATCGAATTGTGCAATTGTCAGGTGATTTGCACTGTGAGTGTGTGTGTAAGAACAGAGGGTATGCATTTAGTCTACAAACCTGAGAAGAAAAGTCTGGATGGAGAAAAGAAAAAGCTTTTGCAGAATACTGCCTGTGGCTTTCTTGGCACTCCTCAGACATGCTGCAGTGCTAAAAGCTGCCCTTAGCCCCAGCTGTATTAGTGCTGCCCAAACGTCAGCCTGAACTGCCAGAAGTATGTTTCTTTTCCAGCTAATATTGCCCATCTAATTGGGTTCCTTCCATGGATTATTTTTAAGCAATTTCACAAAATCTGAGCAAGTCAACTGATATTTCTCAGAAGCATTTAATTATGAAATCATTAGCAATTTGATGCAAGTCTTTAAAACTCAAGCAAACAGCATGTTCCTTAAAGCCAGAAGCCAGGATACTTTGCGAGACTGTTACTCCAAACACAGTAGGATTCATGCCCATAATCTGCTGTCTGTTCATCAGTCGCTAGTAGAGACGAAATTTTTCTGTTCAAACCAAAAATAATTCATAGTTTTGTTTGATGCCATTAGATATGCATCTCTGCCGTTTTTATGAGCTATGTTTTTAAAGCTCTATGATTTCTTTATCGTTTAAATTGTTTAAAATAATAGTAATGGATGTTGGTCTCTCTTCACTGATTTGAAAAGTCAGACGTTGCTAATGTTGTCGGTTTCGTTGACTATGACTTGACATACTCATTCGCTTCTGAGACCAACAAATCTGTGGAGAATTCCCTACAGATTATTGAGAGATGATGTGAATAATGTTAAGTGTGTCCCCAAAGACTTTCAGGATGGATATGCATAATGAAGCATGCAGCTCTCAATACTAATTCTAATTACTTTTTTTTCCCGTCCTTTAAATCACTAAGGTTCCCCAACCAGAGATGTGGGGCCTTCCTTAGGTCTGAAGAAATCCAGCTCATTAGAAAGTCTCCAGACAGCCGTTGCTGAGGTGACTCTGAATGGTGACATTCCCTTCCACCGCCCGCGCCCCCGAATCATCCGAGGACGAGGCTGCAACGAAAGCTTCAGAGCTGCCATAGACAAATCATATGATAAACCTGTAGCAGATGATGATGATGAAGGCATGGAAACCTGTAAGTAAACTATTGTTGTATATACCAAATGTGAACAACGTACGTTAATTCCTTTCGAAACTGATTGAAGTAGTAGAAGATAATTTTAGGATTTGAAAAAAATTAGAGCTAACAATCAATTTGTTTAAGGCTGTTTCCACTCATATGCATTAACAGATCACATCTCTGCAGCTTCCTTCCTTTCTAAAATAAGAAAATAAGATTATTGGGAGTGTGTTTACTTAAATGACTATGAAAATTTTCTGTAAGACAGCTAATTGATGTACTAATGTAAATTAGAAAAAAAGTTTAGGCAGAAAGACAAATAAACCCACTGAATTTATGTTACAAAAATATATGCATCTAACTTTGAAAGAGTACATTTGTAGTGTCGGGGGGATTAAAAGAAATCACCATCCTTTAATTAGAGTAAGGCTGGCAGATCTAATAAAATATAAAGTTAATGATCAGCTATTACCCACCCTAATGGGCATTCATTTACATCTTCAGTTCTTTAACCTGAAGTATGACCCAACATGTGGAGAATGTCATTAACATAAAAGAATCACTTCAAAGCTAACCTTATCATTATTGAACTAAGTAAGAATGGGCTGGTAAAATGACAACTCGTATTGAATGAAAATAGTATGAATGGTAAATTACCTCAATCAAAGGTTGTATTAAAATCATTGAATTTTTAACCTTCATGTTGTACTACTTTCAACTTATCACACACCAGCAGAATTTTTTTTTAATCAACATGCAGCTAATTAGAAGTTTATGAATGAAGATGATGGTGGGAAGGTTGCAGTAGGAAAGTATTTAGCCTGAATGCTAATGGAAAAGGCTTGAAAAGGAATTTTTTCCTCACTGCTCTTTTAAAAACTTTTTAGTTTTTGAAACTCTGTTACTCATAGGCATCATTGCCTAATATTCTTTTATAAGCTCCTTATGTAATCACTCTTTTAGTTTTTAAAAACTCTTAGAGCTTTTTTTTTCACCCCCAAAAACCGCTAAAGTGTTTTGAAACCAAAAAGGAGGTCATTTTGCCAGTCACTTTTCTCAAAGGTAGTTATGGATGTAATTAATTCTGCTTTACTTTTCCAGTCCCTAACAATTTCACACAGCACTCAGGCTAAATACTGGTCTGATGCTGTTGGATTTCAATCTATTTCTGAGCAGTAGAAGAATAGGTATGAGAAAATGTTAAGTGATCGTGCTCATTTTCACAAACTGCATGTCTGTGGTCTTTTGGGACATATGACCATGTTTCATAGAAGGCCTTGTTTGGTGTGAGCCCCATGATGATTCTGTTCTGTTTTGAGAATTCAGATACCCAAGGTTTATCCAGAAGTTACAGATGATTTAACTTCTTTGATTAAAAAATACAGAAAATTGTTGTCATGGAGTGTTTTCAGGTGACTATAGGTTTTTGAGATTCTGGTAAGGGGTTTTGAGCTTGTTGATGAAATGCATAGAGATGTCATGGTTTAACCCCAGCAGCAGCCAAGAACCACACAGCTATCACACACTGCCCCACCAACGGGATGGGGGAGAGAATCAGAAGGGTAAAAGCTACAAAAACTCATGGGTTGAGATAAAGACAGTTTAATAGAGAAAGCAAAAGCTGCACACACAAGCAAAGCAAAACAAGGAATGAATTCACTGCTTCCCACAGACAGGAGGTGTTCAGCATCTCCAGGAGAGCAGGGCCCATCACGCGTAACGGTTCCTTGGGAAGACAAACACCATCACTCCAGATGTCCCCCCTTCCTCCTTCTTCCTCCCACCTTATACACTGAGCATGATGTCCTATGGTATGGAATATCCCTTGGTCAGTTTGGGTCACCTGGCCCAGCTGTGTCTCCTCCCAATCTCCCATGCATCCCCAACTCCCTTGCCAGTGTGGCAGGATGGAAAGCAGCAAAGGCCTTGGCTCTGTGTGAGCTCTGCTCAGCAAGAACAAAAACATCTCTGCATTATCAACTCTGTGTCCTGCACAAACCCCAAACATAGCCCCATGCTAACCTCTGTGAAGAAAATTAACTCTACTTCAGCCCAAACCAGAAGAGAGTAGCAAGGAAGTATTTGGAGCCCTTTGTATCCTTTACATGGAAGCAGCAGAAACCAACCAAAGCCTTCTGGCTGAAATCAAAATGACATGGGGTGAGTCTTTGCCCCCATCTCTCTGTGTGGATGAAGGAGTCTAGCATTGGTGGACCAAGAGCCATCTCAGTGTCATGAGAGAGCAAGAGCAAGGCCGTTGACAAATCTCACATGGTAAAGAACAGCTGAGCAAAGTGTGACCAGGCTATGTGTAGAACTCTTCATTCTGTTGAGTTTCCATCCAAAGGAAAGGAAAGGCAAAGATAAAATTGGTTTTAAAGCCACAAACAGGAGTTTGTATGAGGGGACTCTCATTTATGAGTTTTATGATACACAGAATATGTCCAGCAAGTGGTCAGTCTCAGGAAAGGATGTGTCTGAGCAATAACACCTTTAGAAGAAACTGAATCTCTAAGATGCTGAGAATAATGAGAAGAGAAAAGCAGCTCTGGGTTTCCAAAGGCAGGAAGGGAATAGTAGGGGGGCCAAGTTATCTAGTCATGTCTTTCTGAAATGAAAGTAACTGACTTTCACATCTAAGAAGTAATCCAGAAATCTGAAGTGCCAGCTTCATAGAAGCAGATGAGTAGCAAAGAAAATACAGCGAGCTGGGCGGATAGAATTCAGTCCTCAAGGTCATCTTCTTCTCATAGTGGCTCTAGAAGCCTAAGAACTGTCCCAGCCATATGTTGCCTGTGTTTCTGAAAGCATGTTTGTATCTGTGTTAAAACTGAAAGCACTTCAAATTTTATGTGACCTCAGGTTCCAGAGAATTTACCAAATGGTGTCTTCAGCTGGACAAACTCTGGCCACATATGAATATGTAGGAGTTTAGCAATCTGGTCCTAATGTAACTAATGCCTCACTGCTCCATAATGATGTTGCTAAGTTATTTTAAATTGTACTCAACTTATTCCATAATTGTTTGAAATTAAAATGTGGCTTGCTTTCATTATAAAACCCAGGCAAATATGCTGGTGGTCAATTTGCTGATGCCTTTTAGGTTGGATCCATTTGTCTTACCTTTTTCCCTCTTGCTCCTCCAAGTGTTTCAGGGCTAAGGAGTTTTTCTTCCAGACAGTGACCTGCTTTGGAGTAGCAAATAATAGCACTGCAATAAATTGTTAGAGGAATTCCAAACATGTCATCATCCCATATACAAAATCCATAAAAAAATACAGGTAGCATATGTGGCAAAGAGGATGACTCTTCTAAATGTCTTTGATCTTCTTGGAACAATGTACTATTAAATTTCTAAATGAAGCATGAAAATCAGATATCAGTGACCAGTTCTGGGGTAACATTTTAAATATTTGAGAAGATGTGCATGAGTTTTAAAACTGTAAAGAAGGAACATTTGTGGAAAGATGTGAGTGTTCAGCTTTTACAGATAATTTTTCCTATTTTTTTTCTAAGTTGTTTTTTTTTTCTTAATACTTGAAATAGCTGACTAGAAGCAAAATGTTTATCTTTAGTTTCATGAATGAGTACATGGTATTTGGATTGGGAGAGATCAACAAAGCTTTCTAATCTTTTGTTGAATCTTAATTGCTAGAATCTAGGGCTGTATTAAATATCACAATGAGAGGCCTAGAAGCTTAGTGGCAAAATAGCTTCACATTAAGTAGCTTTGATTCCTCATGTGCATCTTTTCCATTTTATGGGCTAATTAAGAGAATAGCTTCATAATACCTGTTAGTGTAGTTCTCTGTAGCACAGTGTGGTTCACAAAATGACACTAGTTTTCAGGTTTAATTGATGCTTAAAGTATACTCCAGTTTAATTTTTTGGCTTCAACATCCTGAATGGGGAGGCAGGAGGTTGCAGGAAAGGAAGGAAATAACAGCACCAAAACAAATACATTCTGCATTTTGCAGTAACCTAATGTCATTACTGCATCGTAACAAAAATTAGAAGTTTCATTTGCAGCCTGGGCTTGAATTTTAATTGTGGAGCATTTGCATTGGTTCTAAACACTAGTCATTAGGTGTATGTTAATTGCAGAATGACTGTGCTGCATACAAGTGAAAAAGGTTTCTTCACATTGAGTCCTTTTTAGAAAACTGCAAATCTCTTTTCACTAGAGATTTTATTTTTTTTTTACTCCAGGAGAACAGGCATCCTAGTTCCCAGGCCTCAGTCTGAGCTACAGAGTTAATTGCAAGCTAACTGTGTGTGATAAACAAATATGTATTGCAGCACAAGTGTGGAAAGGAGACAATATTCTCTCCATAGAATATACAAAATAAATAATAAGCAAAAGCATTGTTATGACAAGTTGTTCAGCAACTCAGCATAGCAGAGTATATAATGCATATTTATGATTAATTTAATGTATTGTTATATGAATATGAACAAACAGGTCAAATCTGATTCATCTTTAAAATTCTAGCAATGAAGTTCCAAGTAAACACTTGATTTCAAAATTTGTCATAAATTTCATGCAATTTTGTTGCTTTTTTTTAAAAACTAATTATATTCGTTTGCAAGTACAATCTTTTAAATGTCTAGTTGGTTTTAACTGGAACAGATTGTAGCTATAAATTAACATGCAAAAAATTAACATGTCTATTCCAAAGTGTTTTTCCACAACTCTTTTAATAATAACTAAATATCATTCCAGACAGTGATTAAGAAATGCTGTGACCAAAAAAAAGTACAAGAACAGCTAGTACAGAGGCATGTATAGGACCTATTCATTTCCTAAAATACAATTGCATGAATATTAAAGATTTGTCTACAGTTGAGAAGTGTATCATGTGCTTAACTCACAGAAGTCCTGAAGACAAGTTAACATGAAATGCTGAGACCTGGCCTTGGGGTCTTGCTTTTTTTCCTTTCTTTTTCCCTTAAGAGTACTAGTTCAGATTCAAAATTAGTTATTAATCTTGAGCTGTATCTGACATGGTATGTTTTTTCTTGAAATATGATATTCCAGGGCTGGGAGAATACTTATAGAAATCTGGGTACTTGTTAAATAAGTAAACCTGTCTATTGGATAGGTCTGTGGATTGTAATATTAATGACTAAACAGTATTTTGCAAGTGTCTGAGAGAGAGAAGAGATTATATTGAATGGCTTTGAGTCAGTGATTTGTAGGCTTTTCCAGTTCAATGATTTACTTCTAAGGTGAATATGAATGATGACTAAGAAAAGCAAGTTTATATTCAACAGTAGTCTATATATGAGAAAGTTCTAAGGAATTACACTCTTTTGTTGGCTGTAGAAGAGTTGCTGGGGTCTAGAATAATATTAGCAGGAATAATACTAAGAAGTAGTAAACATAGGTGAAACTAAAAAAGTGTTCTTTTTTTTCCTTCTACAAGCCATGTCCATTTCCAAATCTTATTAAGTAATAAAATGTTTTTCTTTTCCATAGATTGTGTATCTATAAAACAAAATCGTATTTTTCAACTTATATTGCCGAAAGGGTTTCCAGATCTTATTAAGTAATAAGATGTTTTTCTTTTCCATAGATCGTGTATCTATAAAACTAAATTGTATTTTTCAACTTATATTGCCGAAAGGTGTTCGGAGCCTTTGTGTTCATTAGAGCTACAGGAGACAGCACTAAGTATCCATCCATGATCCTGACTGTTGCTTTGTGCTGTCTGTTGGAAAACTGGGAGATGGTTGCAGCCCTACTTATAATGTGATGATAATAAATAAATGTTAGAGCTCATGGAAAGTCACAGCTTCACCAGGCATGCAGTGTTATTTTGGGACTTGGCTTTAAGTTAAGTCAAAATGGTTGCAGGATTCTGACCCACAAGCTTGAAGTGTTTTATTTCTTTCTGACTAAATTACTGGAGGATTTTTCAGTTTTTTAATGGATTTCTTCTTTGGGTCATTTGTCTTTCAAGCTTTCTGAAATACATGCGGTCTGTTAAATCTAACCTTGGGTTTACTTCAGGAGACTTGGTCTTGGATTAGAAACAGAAAAGGAACATGTTATCTGTCCTTAAAGGATTTTTTGTTCTGCTGGATGAAATCTCTCCACTTGAATCTCCCAGACTGCCTCATTTCCCCAGGAATAACACCAAAAATAAAAATCCTAGTGCATGATGTGTCTTAACTGGCTCCAGGAAATGAAGTAGCATAGCAAAATTATTATGTTACTTGCAGAAGAAAAAGTCTATTAAGGCTTTTGTTGAGGGTTAACACTCCTAAATGACTTTTATATTTTTATGAGAGCATTGCTAAGAATTTACTGACAGGGCATGCTGCACTGCTGTTGTTGTTTCTTGCAAATATTTCTAAAGGTCTCCTCAACTGATTTAGATACTAAAACAAAAAAGCCAATTAACATCACTTGGCTAATCCTTCGTATTAATCCATACATTATTCAGAGTACCCACAAGGTACAAATTGTGTTTTGCAGAGTGTTCTACAAAAGTGAATTCCTTGCTTTTAGGAGTTAAATAGTTTTAATGAACATGCTTGGAAACCCCCATGTGAGCAGATACTGATTTTGAAAAACAATATGAGTCTATTGTGGTTGTGCATACATCCTGCTTCAAAATACATTATGGAATATACCAAAAAAACTGGTCTTGTTGTTTGTTTTTATCCCACTGATGTTTCTTAATATGTGCTTTCAGTGGAGGAAGATACAGAGGAGAGCTCAAGATCTGGTAGAGAATCTGTGTCCACAGCAAGTGACCAGCCATCCCACTCGTTGGAGCGACAGATGAATGGAAGCCAAGATAAGGGTGACAGAAAAAAGTCTGGAAAGGAAAAGAAGAAAGACCGAGATAAAGAGAAGGATAAAATGAAGGCAAAGAAAGGAATGCTGAAGGGCTTAGGAGACATGTTCAGGTAGGTGCCTTGCAATCAAATGAATGAATCATAAGTTTCATCTTTGAGTTACTCATTTATACTGTGAACATTTGCTGAGGCCATAATTTACTATACAAATACATACATGGTGTATAGAGGCTAATCTCTCAATCTTTGAGCCTGTGAGAGGTGTCATGAAAGGGAAACAGTTCAGAATGGAAGAGGAGGAGATGGCTGGCCATCCAAAGGAAAGGAAAGGCAAAGAGAAAATTGGTTTTAAAGCCACAGACTGCTTGATCTCAGAAAAAAGTCTTTGGTGATGTGTAAGTCATTCACATATCCTTTGAAAAGTCAAACAATTTTAGTGTTTGGGTGGTTTTTTTTCCCTTAAATACTGTACCCAAAGCCTATGTGTCACTAAATGAATGGTTTTCTTTGCTTTACTATTAAGACTGTTGGTGTCATGGAGGCATGATGTGAAAGAGATGAATCAGTTTGAGATTGAAAAACAGCATGCTCCTCTCAAGGAAAACAGGATCTAAATAAGGTTATGTGCTTTGAGAACCTGTCTGGAGAACGGGTCAGTGAAAGACATGATTCTCACCAAACACTGAGTTATTTTTAAAGAAGTCATCTCTCCAGCAGATATAAGTGATCTGAAAGGAGCAGACTGCTGAGATACACCCTGCTGTCATGGGTAAATGGTGAAACATGACAAACATCTTTGATCACTTATGGGAAGGGGTGAGAGAGCAGGAAAACCAGTCTTTCTTTTAGGTAGCTAGAGTAAACAAATATCTTTTTAAGAAAAAGCAATATTAAGCCAGTGCTTGTTTTCTTTTGTATATTCAGTTGTTCATTATTTAATTTCAAAGTGAGGTACCAGTATTATTTTAAAGATTTATTGACAATGATTCTGCTCTGAAAACATATAAGGGGAGCTTCAGTTAACTTTCATCCTGTTACTGTCTTTATCCTGTAAAACATTAGTTGAACATGTGTTGCAACTGCCTAGGTTCTTGAGAATTGTTCTGTGACTGTGAATTGTATTGCAAGGGTAGTTTAAAAAAGCCTGGTTAATGAAGGGGGAAAAAAGTTAATTAGAAACTATTATTTAGAAAACATGAAATACTACGAGGCTGTTAGTGTATGCCATAGAACACCAGAAGAGTCACAAAAGATAGTCCCATGTGTCAGGTGGGAAAAGAACACTTCCACCTGGTCCCTGTGAGACCCTTGGGATGTCATCATCTGCTGGGCATTTGCCTGCCTAAATTCAAGCTTGGAGCAGAGTGTTGCACTCCACTTTGGGAGAGACTGGAAGGTAGGAGACATGAAATGCTGACTGGTTCTTTTCTGCACTCTTTGCTATTTTTATACAGCAAAAATGCCAAGTAAAATTGAGGCACATTATACATGATAAATTCTATAGGCTCTAAGTAGTAGCTTGTTGGATACCTTGAGTGCTATCTTGTGAGTGCAGTCAGAAAGCATTTATGGCATCTAGAAAGCTTGGGCAGCTCCGTGGTCCAGTCAAGTAACCTTTTCTGTATGCTCAATCAAACAATTCTGAAGTCTTTAATCTGGAAACAACAGTAATTTGACTGATAGGAAGCTTTGTTGTTTGCTCTTCATAGCAGTCAACATTTTCTTGAATTATTTTTTTTCCTTCACTAACATTTCTGAGTGAACTTTACTTTGCAGTCTCCCCTTAATTAACGTGGGAGCAGTGCTGTCTGGATGCAGTTGACTCCTTCTGGATCTGTAAATTAGCTTGCACCTTGTCAGCCCACCCAAGAGAGGTGTTCCTGGCAAGCAGGAAAATGCTGATTGAGGAAATTAAGCATTATGCCTCATTTCCACTCGGGGCTTGATTTGCTTCTCAATAATGTTTGAGAGATGGGCTTTGTTATGTCTGCAAGATATGCTACAACTTCTACCTATAATGTGCTTTGTTTTTCTGTATATTTGACATATATCATAGATATCAAGTAATCACTGAAAGAAGTTGTGTGATAGAAAATAATGATGACAGTAACATTTAAAATTCAAACCGGGATCAAAGCATAATTGGATGTTTTGGTTCTGTGCAACATTTTGATTTCTTTGTTGTTCTTTTTTTTCCCCTCTTTTTTCACTTTTTTCTTCCTTTCCAGTGCTCTAATCTTAAAATAATCTTTCTTCGTTACAATATATGTGGGCAAAAACACTTGCAGGGTGAAACTGCTGTTAACTGACACTTTATTCCAATGTCTGTATTTAGCCAAGGGGCTTTTTGTTGCCTATATGCAAACTAGCAGCTCATAAAGTGGAGTTTATGTGATGTATAAAAATAAGTCTCTTTGCCTTCAGTTAAAATCTTAGGATTTGCTCCTAGGATCTTCATTAAACTGTACTGCGAGATGGAAACTCTCACTAGAGAACACTGTTACATTTATCCTTCAGCATCTAGTCATCATTTCAAAGAAATCCCTGGATGATTCAGATAACAAGTTAAAATCATAAGTAAATCTTTTGAACACTTCCATTGTTTTATTGCTTGTATCAAACATAGTAAAGAGGATTGACATAACCATGGAGGATAACTACAAAACACAAGGCACAGCCTGCATGGTTCTGACACACACAACTCCCATTATTTCTAGGGGACCTTTGCTGACATTGGGCTGTGAGTGATCTAAAAGTTCACCCTTCACATTGTGAAATAAATCTGTCTGAGCATGTGTGTATTTCTTTTTTCAAATTGACGTTTCAGGGCAGAACAGATTAATATATTTAATTACGTCATTTAGCTGAGAAGTCTCTTCCTCTATACAAATGAAAATAGGGCAGAATGTAGCCTAGAAAATGTTGAACAGAAATACTGGTCTATTGGTCTATGCAGGTGCTGCAGTTTTGCTTACATCTGAATGTATTTTTTTACCTGAATAGTTGGACCATTCCTGTCTTAGCCCTTCAATAGGATCATGTACCAAATGCTGTGGCCTGTGAGATGCTGTGCAGTTCCTCCTTCTTCATTACTGGCAGTTAGAGAGTGCCTAGATGGCCACTGCCAGCTGAGCAAATGGGCTTTGGGAAGCTGATATGAAGTTCTGCTAGTTTTTTTGTTTCACTGCTAAGTAGGCTTGAGTGGACATATGTTGTGACATCAGAAGTTTATAAAAATCTGTATGCTTCTTCCAAGTGCAATATGAAATATGTTTACTCATTTCTGAGCCTGATTTTGTTTATTTCTAAGTAGAGATTTTGTTTCTTGATAAAAATCAACCTGACAAAAAAAAATCAGTTGATAAATAAGTCATTGCAGTGCTGCCTTAAGAGAGAGGTTTTGCAGTTTCAAACAGTGTGCCTATAATTAGTGCTGGTAGGTGTACATTCATTTGAAGGGTTTCTATGTTGTGTGATTCCTTGACATTCCTCTTCTGAGAGAGCAAAATGGTACCTGCTGCCTTTTTTACCCCCTCCTCTTGCCCCTGCCATGGGAAGAGTATTTTTGTGTATGAAAGTGGATCCCCTCAGCACGTAAGAGAGGGAGATTTGACAAGTTCATGTTTGTAGGTTTTGGATGCTGGTGAAATGACATATCTGCTGTGGTGCTGCTGGTCACTTACAATCCCTGTACTTCATTCATGCTTATTCCCAGTGTACAAGCTTGGATATAGTTTCTAGAGGAGTGATTGGACTGGTGAAGTAATAGGCCATCAGCAACTGAAGTGGTAGCTCCACATCTTTCCCAGCTTCCTCTGTCTTTATATAGTTTTCCTCTGTTGTCATCTTTGAACCATGTTTCTGTAAGACAGTGGCATCACTGTGTTTATGTCACTTTGCTTTGGAAATTAAACTTATTTGCAAGAAAGTAGACAGCCACACTCTTACTGAGTTTATATGAGAGAGGACTCTCATTTATGAGTTTTATGATACACAGAATATGTCCAGCAAGTGGTCAGTCTCAGGAAAGGATGTGTCTGAGCAATAACACCTTTAGAAGAAACTGAATCTCCAAGATGCTGAGAATAATGAGAAGAAAAAAGCAGCTCTGGGTTTCCAAAGGCAGGAAGGGAATAGTAGTGGGGCCAAGTTATCTAGTCATGTCTTTCTGAAATGAAAGTAACTGTTATCTAGTCTTTCTGAAATGAAAGTAACTGACTGCCTGATAATAAAAAAAACTACTGAAACAAGTAAACCTTGATATGATCAGAGGAAAATTGCTTTTAAAATGCATATGTTATGTTTGAGTTTATGTGGAGAACAGTTGAGGAGAACAAAAGATGGGCAATATGTACATTGTGTCTTAACTTTGAGTTTAAGTAAAAAATACCTGCATTGGTTTTGGATGTTGCTTCTGAAAGCCTGATAATAAAAAAAACTACTGAAACAAGTAAACCTTGATATGATCAGAGGAAAATTGCTTTTAAAATGCATATGTTATGTTTGAGTTTATGTGGAGAACAGTTGAGGAGAACAAAAGATGGGCAATATGTACATTGTGTCTTAACTTTGAGTTTAAGTAAAAAATACCTGCATTGGTTTTGGATGTTGCTTCTGAAATACATGTAATGTAATTTGAAGCAATTGTGGATAAGTATGTTATATGAAATAAATACATTTTCTACTGTAGGAATTAATATGTGAGTCCCACAGAAACATAACCTTTCAATGGAGAACATAACCACTGTGTACTGAACTTCATAGAACAAGAGAGTATACTTAAAATTAATCATGTGCATAGGATTTTTTATTGGAGGTTGTGCATTTTAAGATCTGGCCTCTCATATTGGTGGAGATGTAAAGTCATAATATATGGTAACTGATCTTTACTTCCCATCTTAACTATTGTAGTATACAGGTGGGTAAATCAATACACTGAATAGCCAATACAAATGTAATATTCCCAGATTACCATTAAAATATAATCCTAATTGGATTTAATTACATTTCAAATGATTACTGAGAGCCTTGCAGTGTTGTATCTTTCAGTTCTCTGGGAGGAAATAGATAATTCAGTTTGCAACCTTGTTTAGCTGAAATCAGATATACTGTTGG